ATAAGACTTTGAAAACGAAACAAAAATAGTTTGTAAGTCAATTAAATAAAAAATAATCACATCGTTTTTTTCAAAAACCTAAATTAAATTTCAGAACGAAATAGTATTTCTATATACCTACATATACTCATAAACAAAAAATCGAATGTGAGAATTGGTATCTAGTAGGTAACCTATTCAATCTTTAATTTTTACTAAGTACTAAATAAACCTAAGAATTAAGTATCATCAATATATAAAAGGTAATTACCCGTACGCTAGATGAATATCAAGACGGCCTACGCAATATTACTACAATAATAAATTATCCTATATACATTATACACACGTTAAACAATACCCACGCTATAGCTCACATATTAAGCATGACTAAGTATGCGTAATGTTAACAATACTAAAAGCCTGCAAATGTTGTCGGGAATCAAAACTTCAATACTATAATATTCAATTAAAATAGTAGCACAGCAATAGTGAAAATCTTTAGACTATGGTTCAACGTTAATACTATCACACTTTGGGGCGGCACTACACGTTATAATAATACTTAGAACATTTAAACAGTAAACGTATATATTTATTTTAGTTACATAATATACATTCTATAACTTATTTTTAATAGGAAACATTTCAATAATTTTTAATATTTTGTAAATATATTAAGAGATAATTATAAAAACATATTCAAGTAAATATATTTACTGTTTTAGGTCAAGTTCATTTTAAAGGTTATTGTAATATTAAAGATATTGTATCTACATACAATTATTATTTTAAGATGGTACAAAATGTATTTCTAAGAAATTTTTATATTTTATAGTCTCTTTATATTATTGTAGCCAAGGTACTTATTATTATTAACTTAAAATTTCCCCCTCTCCCATCTGTTTAAACGACAAGAATGGAAGATCTGTGCGAAAATTATTACTACTTGCTGCCATCATTTATTGAAAGCAATAGTTTATAATACACTCGACTCTGATATTAAACAAACTTGTATTTCCTTAAATTTTTAAAATAAAAAACTTCTTTTTTTTTAAACCATAATTTAGAAGTAGGTAGGTACATACATAATTATTTTTTTTTATATGTATAAGAAAATGAAGTAATCAATTAAAAATTTGCTGAAGAAGTTTTTAAGATAAAATATAATAGCTGCGAATTCGTATATATAAATAATATTAAAATATTAAAAACATTCAATTTTTTTAGGAAAATTAGAATATAAATAGGTAGGTACAATATTTTAAAGTAAAAAACGAAAATAAAATATGCTTAATCATAAAATTGATACATACTAGTTGTTGATAAAACTTATTCATAAATCGAAAATGTTTTTTTTTTTTTAATAATTTGATTGCATTAAACCAGAGGAGGAATGGGTGAATGGGTGTGTGATGTGTATATGTTATGGATAGGAAACAATAATAATTTTAAATAAGAGATGGTTTACAGTATTTTTATTTATTTTATATTTAATATATGCACAATGCACATATAAATATTATTACAACAAATACGTTATTGATCATTAAACAAATACAATGCAGTTGTGTCCTGTCAATAACTCTGATTGATCACATCACTGTATTTTTTTTCTTGTTATTCACTAACAATGTAATACCCTAACATTTCAACACTTGAAATAGCTAGAACGAATTTTTAATGAAATATCTTGATAAGAGTTCTTATAGCTAACCATAATTTAGTTTTATATTTTTTTTTTTACGTTGACAATATAATAATACGTAGGTACATATACAACATTGCATTGTAATCGTTAACCAGGTTATAAGACATTTCAAATTATTTTAACTGTAAATTAATACATTATATTTTTATAAAATCTTAGAACATGTTTAACGTCATGAACATTTTTTATCTGTTATTTAATACGCTGTGGTATGTAATTGATTATAGATAATAATTAAATTTTTCTACATTGACATCAAACTTATTAATGAAACCGTAGATATATATTAAACAGTACTAATTGAAATATAACACTTTAACAATACCGTATCATATATTATGTATAATGAAAAATATAAATTTGTAATGAATTATTCTTATAATCAGAGTTCATAAAAATTTCTAATGCATTATAAAAATAATATAAAGACATCAAAACTATTATCACCAATATTAATAGAAATAAATGTCAATAAAATATTATTGTAATTAAGTTATTTAGAGTTAGAATTGACTTTGTTTTTTAAAGAATACAACATTAAATCACTAAACGAGTTAAATTTTAATTTAATGATGTATCATTGTATAATATGAAAGACATATAGGCAGAAAATTCAAAAATATTTAAAGATGCTTAATAATATCTAAAATTAAAACTGTATTTCTTTTAGAAATAAGCTGCTTTTTAACATACGCGATTGCAAGTTTGCCAATTATCAATGGATGTAATCCAAAAATATAGTAATATCCGTACTATAAATTTTAAATCATTATTTCTGTTATTAATCAGTAGTTAAACATTTACATTTTCATTAATGTATATAAATACTCAAAAATTATTTTTATTTTATTTTAAGCTTACAAAAAGGTATCATATTATACTTGGGTAGCTAATATAAAATATTATATTAATCAAACCTCACTTACCAACTATTTTGATAATAAACATAAATGTCGAAGTTACAATAATTATTAAGTGTATTTTTAAAAATAATTATTCAACCATCGGTTTAGATTTTAAAAAGACCAAATATTTTATAAAAAAAATTAGTTATTTAAGGTCAGTAGGTAGCCAATAATTTACTGATTTATCAAACACAACACTAAGACCTAATATAGTCATATTCTAAAAGATGCGTTCATATTATTATTATGGTTAAAAGTTTTAATACTATTGTAGTTTATTAAAATACACGTGTGCACATTATTTATTAATAATCAAACTATTGACTGGTCGAGTGATTAAATTTAATTCAACTTCCGACATCTGACAATGGAAATTTTACTTCTAAAACGCAAACTGTACGCAGTTATAATTCAAAATATCTGTGTACCTTTAAATATAAGCTTATAAGTTATCATTCGTTCTAAACCTATTCTTCACCTGATCACTAGGCTTAAACCTACATGATACGAAAGATAAGTCATACATTAAAATTTACTTAATATTGAAAATAAACCAAAAATAAAAATGTCTAATAACGCGGAAAGGGTCTACATATATTATTTATCTGGATTATTATAATAGAAATGTTCACAGTTCACCATAACTTAAAAATTGTCTCGACAAAAGTTGACTTATAAATTTTAATTTATCGGATTTTATCGGAAGTCCACAAAACATTATTTAAGTTAATACATGGATATTATTCGTGTTTGGATTCAATTCTAGAGGCGGCGATGACCTGCGAATAACACAGTGTCACAATATCTACAAGCGTAATTTGTTTAAAATTCAAACACGGAGGAAGATCATCTAACCGGTTTCCCGACTTACTTTTTTTTTTACAAGTGGCAAGGAGACATTGAAAATTCACAAAAATTAGGTCAATTGGTCGCACATCTTAATATTAAAATACACAGCGGATGTAATATTTTATTTTTATTGCCTATCTTTTCGTCTTCCTTTTTCATTGCCTTCAGTCATTATCACTAACAACAAAAATGTTATCTTTTCGAATTAAATACGAGCATTAGGTAACGTTTTTGTTTTTCTTTAAAGGTATATATATAATTTTTCAAACATTTACGATTTGTAGAAAGTGGATTACACACTCACACAAGAAGATGAAGGATTTACTTACGAATTTAAATTTAAAATATCTATTCAAATAAACTGTTTAATGTTTATAATATATCGTATACTTAATATGAGTTTTAGGCAGTAGAATAAACTTAAAGAATTAAATAGGTTATTAAAAAATCGGTAACATTAATATTGTTACTATTTTTTATTAAGATGGGATAATTTATTTTGAGGCGTTTATAAATATATATATATGGTTTCAATGTATTTTAAATGGTTGTAAAATTATCCATACATCCATACACACATTAAAAAAGTATATATTAATTTAAACAAAATTTTGTTAGAAATAAAACAGACAATAAGATTACAAGTATTTACCTACTTACAAACTAATTATAAGAATATTTTTTTATTTTTTTTTTTTTATCACATAACATGCTTACATGCATATTAAACTTCAAAAAATAGGCAAATAATCCATGAAGTAATAATATGTATTCGTGGTTTACTTAATAGTTTTAACTTTGCGACCAATAAGGAGAAAATAAAGATACCAAAAACACACAATTATTATTATTATAATTCTTTGACCTTTAACACACTAAAGAAATTGACATTATTAATTATAGTTATTCTAATGTATTCTTTACTGTAACTCGTTTTGTTTATTTGATATTTTAAATATATTTAATGTAGCAACGTTAATGAATACTTATAAAAGTGTTGTCAAATTATATCAGTATCAAAATGGTTAATCATGATTCATGATATATATTTGACTATTATTATGCTTTATTGCTTAGATTATTTAATACAATTAAACAAATAGTCTGATAACAAGTAAACTACAGTGTTTATAAGTGGTTAAGATTTTCTTTACATTTTTACGACTAGATATAAGAGACATGTAAATGATAATGTTCAATGGCATATTGTCATGAATACATTCCTAAATAACACATAAAAAGTGCATAATCAGTATATTCAATAGAAAGTCTGTTTCAAAATAAAGAGTACAATGCCAGAGAATAACTATACAGCTATACAAGTCATGATATAGGTAATCATGGAACTTGAAATGAATACAACTGGTTCTCAAAAGGTATTACTTAAATGACTCAAACCATAAACCTATCAGATTAAATGAAGAACAGTTAAGTGTGGATTACACTATTCAATGAGATAATACTTTTAAACTAATAATAACAATGTCACACTTCCTACATGAGGTGTACACCACAATATCATTAGACTGGGCAATGATAAAGTAAAATCAACTCACCTTCAATGCACACGACGTGGTCCCTGACTTGTTGAGCGACAATCGGATCTGGTATGAGCTCGATGAGGTCATAAATAGCGTAGATCGACGGGTGAACACTCTCGAACCGTTGAATTTCCTTGCAGATGGCAAGCGAATTGTTGGAGAATGGCGAATGGCTATGATAGTATGATGGACGGCCGTTCATTGTTCCTGTCACGTAGCGCACATTACACTCATTGAGGCTAAAAACGGACGAGCGAACGAATTGGCGGTTAACGATACGACTTCGACAAAAAGTGAGATAGAAACAATACGGCGCGGTAGGTAGATAGTTACTGTGAGAAACACGGATATCGTTTCTGCTGCCAATATAGTTTAGCGGAACGGTGGCGGTCGACGAAAGCGATAATTGTATATTGTTATTATTATTTTTTACAAAAAAATTAAACGTAAAAAAGCAAAACCGATGACTAGAGTTCTCGTCGTGCGATGGTATCACACCAATTCTGAAGTCAACGGGTTGTAATCAAACGATCGTACAAATAAACAAAACACTATCTCAGCTAGACGAGTTGTTATCCGTGTTTACCATTTTCGCGTTCCTTCCTCTGTCCCCTCTACAATAAAAAGGCATACGAACACTACGCATGCGTAAACAATCGCCGCCACCAAATTCGGTTCACCGATACTGCCACAGATAGATGCCGCTCTAATCGTTTCAACTGGTCACCCGCACTATTTCAAATCTTATATTCATTTCGCGAATGCCCGATTTTGATTTTTAGCTTTTTTCTTTTCCATTAATTTATTATTAAGACTTTATTATACTCCCATTTCAACTTTTTAAATTAAATTTTTCAAAAATTGAATAGAAAAATTATTAAGTCACCTTTTTGACTTGTCCAAATGTCCAACAGACAATATAAATGAAATAATTTACTCACATCACAAAAAAAAAAGATTTTCTAAAAAAATGCTTCAAATATATAATTTTATAAATTAAAAAGGTATTTCTTTTTGTATACATTTTTTACCATGATGTATTTATAATAACATGTAACTCTATCTCTACCACCGAAAAAAAAAAGGTTATATTCGTTATAGGTTTAAATGGAAACAAAATCATATTTTTATATGGTAGAAAGATAAAATTAAAAATTCTAAATTCTAACTAATACTTCATAATAACATCGTAAAATGAATACAAATATGTCAACAAAAAAAACACAAAACACAAAACACAAAATACGCAAAAAAATTTATAAAATATATTTAATACATTGATTTATATTATTAAAGGACTATTTATATTATAAATAGTATAATATATATATATACTATTCAGATTAACACTTTTTTGTGGCAAAAATAGACATTTCACATTTTTAATATTTTATATTTTTAATAATTTTGAGTATAGATAATCATTATTTAAATAAATTATATATTATTATAATTAATAAAATACATTTTATACAACTATTCTGTGGCTATGTATCGCTCGTTTATCTCCTTAATTTAAAAAACACATTTATGACTATGTTGTTCCTTTAATTTTAAAACGAAATAACTAGGTAATTGATCTGTCAAAAAGTATGTGTATATCGTCGTTGTTATGTATGTGTGCATATTATGTATTTAACATATTAAATTTAAATTCAATGATAAATAATTGTTAAAAAAAAAAAAACGATTTTGAGCGAATACGGTCAGTCTTATTATTATATTTCATGATGTTTTTTGATCTTGCTAATAAAGTAATTTATTTTATCTTATTTACGCTAAGTTTATTTATTTTTTGGTAAATATTTAGAGACTACAAAAAAAAAAAGTGCTATTGGAAACATCGGCTTAGTGAAAGTACTTCAAACGAAATCTAGAAATTTTAAAAACATCAAATGATCTAACTCCTAACGTTTCCAGCGCTTAGGCTAAACAAATAACATTCAAGTCCAATAGTTCAATTTTAGAAAATGCATTGTAATTATCATGTCTATAAAGTAAAAAATGAAAGTAATAATAATTTTTTTTTTTTTATTTTGTTTATTAATCACGAATAAAAATTTGGCTTTAACAATTTCATTAGAACGTTAGCGCTGCATATAATATATGTATACTGTGTTGCTACTGACAAAGATATTAATTACAAAAATTAATTTTTTAGAAATATGAACTTCCATGTTTTTTATTATTTTTTATGAACTTAAGATTTTGGCTATAATTTTTGGGTTTTGTTAAAATTAAAGGATATTTATGCAAAAAATTCAAAAATGATCTTCATTTTGTGATCAATAAATTATTTTTCACATAATCATAACACAACCACTGCGTTTAGTATTAAATGATATCCACTTAATATCATATAACGATTCAACTTATAAAATTATAAAATACACTACTATACTATCATCGATATCGTGTATCACGCCTGCCATACAAAATCTGCAATACTATCTGAGCTTCTTTTTATCATCTGAAAAGGAGCTGTTTAAATATAAATTTTAAATAATTAATACGATTTGACTTTTAACATTGTAATAATTATTATATTAATAATAAAATAACACACATAAATCATATAATGACATACATTTTTAGAGTAATAATGCCATGTCAATAAATATAATATAATATATAACCGTTACATAGTTTATTATATGGTATATAACACGGTAAGTATATAATATGTATTCACTTAAACATGTGTAATGTTAAAAATGCATAATAATACAAAATTGATAATTTACTTAAGAGTTAAGACTTAAGACTTTCAACTGTACGGCCAACCAAACAGTAGTGAATATTATATTATTATTTTATATAATATTACTTAAAATCAAATAAATTAACCCTTATGAATTTATGATATAATATTATCGTAACACCTTTTAAACACATATAATTTACATTTAAAAAAAAGTAATCATTAAACTAATTTATTAAATCATAAACGATGTTTATTATTATAAGTATAATCGTTTAATTTAATATTATAATATCATCATAATGTACTAAATTTCCATGTTTCCGAATCCAGCGCAAATATTATGCATGGCAAACCCTATATATTAAATCTTCGAGGAGAAGAAAAAATAATAAAAATAAGTTATTGAGTAGAAAAGAGTAGGGTGGATAGTAAATTATAAATTCGATAATATGATGCGGCAGAATATAATATAATTTACATACTAATAGTTTAGTTTGAAGTACACTCATTCTAACAAGTCACAAAAACCAAAAACAAAACGAGAATATAGTTAAGTGCACTACAAATATATAATTAATACCAACAATAAAGTAACTTCCACTAATAATTCTAAATTTCTCAGATAAGTCAATGGTATATCTGAAGCTCATTTTTTTTAAATTTAACTATTGAAACGAAGGGATCGTTCCATTCCTTTGCTATTCATTGACTAACAATAGTATTTTATTTATTCACACTTCACAATAATATTAGTTGTGGCTTAACATGATGCGTTGGCAGCTACCAGTCGCAGAATATGACTGGGAGTAAGTAACGACCACAGCTACTAACTCTCGGATGGGTGACCACCCGGGGTCATAGTGGATTAAAACCTTTCCACACAAACACGTGTTTCCTATCAACTGTAACAATCGTAAAAAACAATCTACCTCTACCATAATTCTTAACTCCTATAACAGCAAATGGCCTTAGTCGCCGGGCTTAAGCTCAACAAAAAAAAAAAAAAGTAATATTAGTAATATTAATTTTAATTTAATTTTACAGTTAAAATATAAATAAAAAGATACAAAAACCCAACTCCTCTCTAATACTCTATTAGGGTACGTGTAATTTCGGTTTATTAACATATCGAATAAACGGAGATTGTCTACGACCAATTTAATTTCCGTGATACCTGCAAACGGGAACCAATATATTTTTACGTCACTATACCTACCAACGTAAGGTTAAATGTTTGAAAAAGTAATACACGTTAGAATCCTATCCATCTTACTTCACCATAATAATATAGTTATTAACTTTTAATTCAGTTTTTGATTCTCATACTCAACAATTCGTCAACATGATCACTGATTCAATCGTCACATAAAAGCAATAATCCCAGGACAATTATTTATACTGGAATTTTCCTAACAAGTAAACACTTTCATTCCTCAATACACAATTGATGCTGAGGTTCCTCAAGGTAGCGATTAAGTTCCTGATCTTAACAATATACTCACAGCTAATTACAGATATAATAATATCCTTCAAACAAATAGTATAATTTTAACCATCTTTGATGATGACACAACCTCATATTAAAATGATATAAATTTGGCTAAGCAGCATTTTTCAATATTCCGTACATCTAATCGAAACTTGGTTCAAATGCGCCGGATGATTAAAATTAACAAGTGAAAATCAACTCAAAACACATTTTCCTTTAGTCGACATGAATGTCTTTTATATAATAAAATAACGTAACTATTCCGATTTTTAATTTAACAAAATATATTGGTACTTATATATTAGAGATTAATGTATTAATAAAATTCTCGCCTCAAAAATAAAATATAAATGGCAAATATTATACTTCATATTTTTCATCCCTCATAAAATAAAAACTATATGATTTACAATATTATTATTATCTAATCCTAAACAAAATACAGATCTGAGAGCCAGTTAATTCATCAAATATTCACTCTTTTCAATAATTTCAATATATTATAACTTTATACGTATTATTATTGGTGCCCCCAAGTGTGCGACTATAACCAAACATAAATATTTAAAAATGTATACCATAACCAAACTTACAAAACTATATTATAAATTATTCCTTACGTGTAACTTAACTCAACTAATCTCTCAATTTATACCATGTCTCTTAAATTTATTTCTCGCTGATCTTGCGGACTTGAAAGAATCTGGAATCAAGATTTATTATATATTTTTTTTTGAATAAGTGGGGTATGAAATATTATATAAACTAAGTTGATTCATATAGTGTTATTAAGAGATGGTTATCTCAGTGATTTTTTTGTGTACATTTATGTATACTTTGTTTTTATTTGTTTAAATAAAATTAAAATAAAAACTGACGATACTAAACTTAAAATTGCTACGCTGAGAAACAACAGTAATGTTATCTATAATATATTAAATTATATTCTTAAATATTTGTTCAGACGTATGTAGAATATCATTTCTGTTTTATCACTTTCAATTTAAAATTTTAGGAATATATATAAAAGTAATATATTTTTCACATGAAAGTCATTTTAAATAAAATCATGACTAAAAATTAAATTATAATAGTATAAACCAACTACAGTAGACGTCGCTTATAAGACTCACTTTGGGACCAGCACAAAGTGAGTCTTTAACCGAATGAATCTTATAGGCGAAGTGGAAAAAAAAAAATTAATTACGTATTTATAAATTTTATTTTACTACATATTTTGCTTTGATTTTAATACATTAACACATATTACATATTATTACATACTTTATTATTGAATAAATTTAATAATCCCGATAAAAAAAAGAACTAAAATTATAATCGTTATAATTATCGTTGCGATAAATGTGAACTTTTATCTGCGATAAAAATTATTATATGTTATAAGGTACCAACAGAAACTAGAAATAATCAACACGAATATTATTTCATTTTTCAAAACCAATTTATTTCTAAATTATAACCAAAAAAGTTTATTTTCTACTATTTATTTTACGAAATTTGAGTCTTAAAACCGATTTTTTTTTTAATGTATTTGGATACGTCCGGACCGTTCCAGACGATTTTGAGTCTAATAAGCGACTGAACCTTATATCCGTGATTCTTAAAAGCGGCGTCTACTGTATTTGAATATATTGTTATATAATACGAGTATTGTATACAAATTTTAAGTTGATATTCGATGTATGCAGTAACAAATATTATATTATATGTATTTATTTATTTTTATATTATAAAATAGTAACTTGAGATCTATAAGTATAAATATAATACATCCACAATAATTATGAATAAACACAGAATAAAGAAACTTAGTTGTTTTCTCTGGTCTACAAACAATCATGTTTTCTAAATATCTATTAATACCTTACTGTTTTTGTATAACAAAGGATTATGTTTTTGTGTCGGAATCTCTATTATCATTCTTAAATACAAGTACCTATACGTTAATAATTCAAAATATATTTTATATAATATAAAGGTAGGTATAGTAGTACACAATTATTATACATTTATAATATTAATATACGATTATATTTATATCATACTAATAATCAACACATAAATAAATCACACCTCTTTGTGTATTTTATTATAATTATAATGTCATAAAATATTGAAAATTAAAACAAAACAAAATAAAAAAAAAATCATTCGAAAAATTAAACCTAAATATAATTTATTAACCATATTAAATTATTTTAATATGATAAATATTGTATTTAAGTATCTTTTAAGTATCTAATCAATATATTTGATATATTATTGTGATAGGTATTATACGAGTATAATGAACTTAAATTATACAAACTGCAGCCTTCGGAAAGTTTTATTTTATTTTATTATTATTATTTTATTTTATTTTTTTTTTTTTGTCCTTAATTGAATAATTTTTAGGTGCTAGCTCTATAGTCTGTACAATGTGGATACGCATACAATATTCAGCCATTCAATAAATACTATAAATATATTTAATTTTAATGAGTTATTGTCCTTATCATGTATACACCATTTGTAACGACGCTATAATAATAATTTATTACTGAACAATAATATTATACAAAATGGTAGTATAATTTACGTAATTAGAATCAATATCAATTTGTATTTTAATAACTCAACGGTAATATATATATTATATTATATTGTAGGTACCCAAATGTATCATTACTATAATACTATATATTCTTTAAATTTATATTTGAACTGAAATTATCATAACTGAATTAAAAAATATAAAATTATTTATTTTTATTTTTACTAATACTTAAATCCGAAATTGCAGTTTCATCGAATACATGATAATAAATAAGTCGTTATGTAATATATAATACAATGCCTGTGATGGATTTTTAAAAATCGTTAAACTTTGGCTGTTTTTCAATATTTGTAAAACGGAATTTTATATTATTTTTTAGTTATAGTATATTTACTATTCGAGTGCACACATTTTCATACTCGCTAAATTACTCCATATTAATTATAAATTATAATACCTATTATTATTTTTACTCATATAACATAAAAACAATAATAATAATACACTCATTGATTAATAATAATGAATAGGCTCAACATCGACAAAGCACGCACACGTTACGACTTTTTCATTTATATATTATAATATATAGGTAACAATAATCATAACTTATATTAACATTATTAATAATACCAGATACGTATAGTATACATAGTTAATATAATCCATACGTTCAAACATATTGTATATTTAAATATTTGTATAAAACACTATCTAGAAATTATATAAAAATATTGTTCCTCGTGCAAGGAATATCATGGAAGTATAAGTTTTGAAAAATTTTAGTTAACTACCCGGCACGGCCTTTATGGTAAATCATCGCAAGTTATTTCAAATGGGCAATACACACAGTTACAAACACACATACACACAAGTAAGTATTTATATAATTATATCTCATTATTCACTACATTACGTGACTGTACTCTGCAGATAGTGTCACGTATACGTCTACAATATATACAGAGAGTATTTTGTAACATATGACATATTATTTAAACTTAATTCAACCAAAATTGTCAACTTCATCAAGCAGCTATCGAGTGGCGTTTGACGAGAGACGATAAAAATATGCCCATGCGAAATCGATAGGTATATGTATATAAAATATAAATGCGACCACCCTGCACCACTTTTTTTATTACCAATCTACACACGTCATGACGAAATGAACATTTTGTAATGATTAAACATAAGTTTAAAATGTGAACATGCCGTATTATTGAGGTACGATTAAGTACAATATATTATATTGAATAAAATATTAAAAATATTCAACGGCCGTAACTCGTAATACTATTTAAAAAAATTGTTTTCAGGGATGATATACTCGAATAGGATCCTTCGAACAAACCTATTATTTGCATCTACATCGTCTATAAAAAAATCTCGGACAATACAATTACCCTCTCACAAATCAACCCTTCTCGTATCTATTACAAGTGATAACTTCAAGGCCGCCTTACGGTCTATCCATGAACAGAGTATATTATATTTCATTACATTATTATAACAGAGAATTTATATCACTTAACCACGCGGATTTAAACCATTGAATTATACACTATAAATAATACGATAATAGTTTTAATATTATCGTTTTATAAACATTTCTTATCATAATTACACGTACTACCTATACGTTTCATCGTGTCCCCTGTGTAATAATTCCTTCCGGACGTTGTAGCGGTTGTTCCGATAACTCGACTGTGACCACGGGTTCCGAGCAGTTTCCGCCGCCGTTGCCACAGCTAATCGCCGCAGCTGAATGATGGACCAGCGCTCTATGTTCGATACGACTCACCGACGATGCTTTTGATTTATCTTTAGAGTTTAACGCGGTTTGACTGTTTCTGGAGCATTCATCCTGCAAAGCACGACAAAATTAGATAAATTAAATATTCTATATAAACTCGAGACGTAGTTGTTAATTGATGTATTTTTTCAAAAAGTAAATAGGAAATATCTGTATAAATACAAATCTGTTTCTTGATGGTTACGGATTTAAAATTTTAAAATATTTATTATAAATTTGAACAGACTTCAGGTTTTTTTAATATTTCAAACAATCAATAACTAATATTTTAATCTTGACTTAAACTTATGTTTTAAAAAAAACTACATATTGGAATTAAAAAAAAACTTTATATGTAAAAATAAACTTAATAATAATTATACATTTCTTTAATTTTTAACATAAATATTATTTTATATTTTATTTTATATGTGATTTTTCAGAGTAATAAAAGTTTAAAAACTTAGATAATTATATTAATTAATTGTATTTTATAGTTAAATTGACAAGAAATATTTATTTTTAATTAACTAAATCCCATTTCAAGATTCAATCAAATATGCAAATTCCGTGATCTTTATTCAAATTTTTGAGCTTAAGATTTTGAGAATAATCAAATTTATGTTATTTAAATATTTAAATCAAAATTATATAATAGTTATTAAATTATTGTTTACATAAAAGTTTTTATGTATCAATGTAGCAAGAATTAAAAATTAAATTTTACAATACATATACATCTAAGTAACACCAAGGTTAGAAAACAATGAAAATGCAATATTTTTAGGTTTAGGTATAGTATTTTTGTTACTATCAACTTTAATTTCAGATATAATTCAGTTTATTTTTACTTATAAGAAAAATAATTACAAAATAAATAGTACCTATACAATACAGCATTCAAACGTAAAATAAAATCTCTTACTAATGATTAATGAATAAACATTTAGTTTCGACGAAACGATAAATTCATTCAACATCATATTTTAGTGGAATTGTATGTGTCCTCAAACTCCACGTATGCACATGACATGTGGCATTATCCCGATACAATGAAAACTCGCTTTGCAATGTATAAATAAAATGAACCGTGGTCAAGAGTGAAAGGTATAATTTATTACATTTTGAATTTGTTACGAAGAATAAGACGTTAATAAGATGAATCGGGATTGTATAGAATATGTAGAAAAACATAATAGAGACAGCTGAGGTTTAAGTAATAATAATAATACCATGAATTTCGTTTCAAATCGGACTTTTTAAGATGTATAGGTATGTGTTATGTATGTTTTTTTTATTTACTTTCGAACTATTTTGTATTAGTTGTTCGGTCGAACAATGACTAGGTGGAGTGCCTTTTGCTTCCCTATTCTTTGTCGAATGCCTTCTCTGCTGGTCCCTTTGATACCATTTCAAGTTGTATGTTTTCACTGAAGATGTACTGTGCACAGCTGGATCACTACCGGTACGACCATAGCCTACATTTATCAAAAGAAAAATAGACAATTTGTCATCAAGCCACGGGCTTCGAAGTGTACGATCGTTCTGTGCCAGATGCATGTGATGTTTAATAATAATATATAGGTAGTGTATATAATTATGCACTGATTTTATATTATGTTTAGATACCCAATTTTTTTGCCCTTTTTGCCCTGCTCGGTGAGGCCGTTGTTGACTCCGACGTAGATGGCCGGCAAGAGATCAATATGAAAGCAGCTGCCCTGGCAGCTCCTACCCTGCTCGTATCGTCATCTTTGGTTTCCGATTGACCGGCAGTACTCTCGTCTTTTTGTTGTCCATTGGCCGCCGCAGAATCTGACGTGCCGTAATGTTTGCTCGAAGATGCTTCTGTAAACACGTGACCAAATAAAAATTGTTTGGAAAAATATGTTTATATAACCTTGCAATGGACAAATCACATACACTATATATATATTTATTATACATAGTTGGCATTCTTATAGTTGCAAAATGTTAGGCCTTGCATTAGACATACAGCATTAATTATCATGATTTTAATTTAATTTTTTTTTTGAATCAAGAGTAATTTTATAGTTGTTTGGAGTGTAAAGTTTTGCTATAAAAAATTTTCACTCGCTGGTTAGATAAAATTGTAGGTGAAAACAGTCACTGATCCTTACTATAATATGATTATGTAGACACAAAGGTGACGCACCTAATAATGAACTTCAGAAAAACATAGCAACCAAAATATTCAAAGAATTATTAATTATATTACGACCAAACTTTAAATCGTATTATAAATGTAGTTGATTAAATTTCACATATTTCGAGTATCTAGTCTAACAGTTCACAACTATATGTTGTAAGTTTTTGACATAATATGCTTTTCGTTTACCATGTCAAAATATATGAAAATTAATAAAACGCAAAATCAACTAAGAAATCATAAGATATAATCTCGTTTTAAATTTATTATAAAATAAAATAAAAACTAAATTATTAAACGAATATTGCAAAAAAAAAAATATATATATATATATATATTAAATATTAATTTTTTTTTCATTGATGTTTCAACAATAATTGTGATTAATTGCTCACGAATATTTATCTCTCTAAAAAAATAATATATATTTATATATATATATATATATATATATATAAAATACAGGCACAATTAAGTAATAAATAATATTTACATATTTATTGATTTAAAATGAAAAAAATTTTCGACATTTGTCCTCTAAATTTTGAAAATTTTAATGAACTGTTGTTATGCCTATCAAGCTTATTAAGAAATGTAAGAAAGTTTTTAAAATAAGAATCAAGTTTAAGTTACTAGCTTGTGGTACAATAATGAGTATTATCTATTGATTAATTGTTCTAATATATTTACTACAACAAACTATCGTGCTTATATCATACACCCTTCTGACATCATACATACATATAAGTACATCACGGGTATTGAATCTTTAAACTTTAAAATTAAATTCTAAAAATTTTATTAAAATATTTTGTACAGTTAAAGGTAACTTATTTTCTGTAAAAATTTTAAATCAAGAAAAAAAATATTAAGTTAATGGTACCTATTTATAAAAAAAAAGTTTAAAACTGATTACATACTTGGTATAATGTTTTAAATTTATGTAAGACATATAATGTATAAATAACACTTTATTATATATATTTTTTACACGTATATTATCGAAAATGTAATTATATTATGAACTGTATTTTCTATAAAATGTACTGTTCGCGTTTCGACGTATAATTCGATGTGCGTGAATAAACAGCAAATAGAGGTACCTTACCGAGCTGGTATAGACGTATACATTTGACAACAATATAACAACCCAACGACTGACGGCATGATGAATGGAAACTCGTAAAAACGGTATAATAATCTATGGTAGAAAAAAAAACGCTATTTACCTATTTTACCCGCGAAACGAATAAATTTAGGTCTTCTAAATGGTGGTGGGGAGATGGGAAAAATAAATAACAAACAGCAGAAAAAAAAGAGCTGATCGTACATCACTGTCTCCACCCCCACCCACATTCGTCGCGGCGACCCCGACCACCATTGTATAGCACCCAGACCGTTCACAATTATTCGCTTGATACAGCGCCGTGTGACGGTGGCGATATAGAGTGGTCATATAATATATAGTTAGAGCACAATACACACACGTTAGTATACATGTGTGTGTATGTGTGTACGATTGCTGGTCGTTGGCCGATGATGATCGTTGCCACTACGTGAGAGGGTTGTAAAGACGCGTCGAAATAGCACAGCTCATGAATTAATTCACGCAGTTAGTTATGCGTATAATACGTGAATCCGTGTAAATAAATATAATCATTAAAATCCATGTATACCTATTACCTATACTATAGAGTGAAAGCAATACAAGTACGTGGTGGCTGTTTTATTAGAAGTGCAGACGTCACGACCCGCCCCGTATACTGTATTCGTATTTACGTAATACGTATCATTATATTATATACGTATAACACGAGGTGAGTAGGAAAACCAGGTGGTCTCTTTTCGGCCGAGAGCACTCCTCCCTTAAGTCTTACCCTACGGTTGGGGGAGGAACACCACCGCACTACCATCATCGACCAACCCCCTCATCAACAACCTCGTCGACCGATGCGCGCGCGCGCACACACAAACATAGACACAAAAACACACACACACACGTCATGCCAAAAATCGATAGGAGGCGACCTACTAGTTTGACGTGAACACAGCAGCTTGTTCGGATATAAGTTGGTGGTCGGGAAATGCCGGGGTCTGGAGGCCGTGGACAGGCGCAGCCCGAAACAGATGAGCGCCGAGAACACTAACAGGCCGACCACGACGCCGAGTAGCGACGAACCGCCAGCTTTGCCGTCCGAATCGTCTGCAGGATGACAACAACAAACATAAACCATAATAATAAATTTTATTATACAATCGCGTACAAAAATATATTATACGATTATAATATTGAAATACGCCTAAGAATACTATGTCGTATTTCACTAAATGAATAGACTTATGTTTCGCACTGCATTAAAATGTGTGCTCGCACGTGGTACTTATATACAAATATAATATAATATATATATATATATACATACCAACGTGTCTAAACATAAATCATGTTCAGTATTCGACTAACATATTATTATTAGATATATAATATTATGACCATACGAAACAAACTTAAATGTAATATATATAATATAATATATATTACAAATAAAGCAACTAGGTATGTCTATCGTAAAAGTACCTTGGGCGCAAAAACTGCTCCTGGCATTGGTAGGCCTGGAAACTGTAACGATATGGTAGCCCTGTTTACACTTGCATATTGCGTTGTGGTCCACCTGTGCGCACACCGCATGCTTGTCGTGCAACTGGCACGTGTCGTCTTGGAAACATTGTTCTCCCAACCCTGCAATCACACACATAGAATTAAATAAAAGTTAAAAATATCTGTTCCTGTATTACACATATCTAGAGACAATGATGAGCGTCAATTTTCCACAACTCGTAACTTTTATTCAGTATATAGAATTACTCAAAAATATTGTATACATAATATAAGTAATATTTCCTATTATATTCAAATTTCCCTCCAAAAAAATGGTCTTATAATAATATTATTGATTCAAAAACTTATTTCTCTGTACGCGAATCAATCAACCGCTTAACGCGTATAGTATATAACTTATTAAACGTTAACATAAATTTACACGACAGAAAAAAGTGTACACAATATAATACTGTTATGACGTGAATAGTACAAAATAGTAGGTTTTTATAATTTGTACCAGCACAATTTAAAATGTTATATTCATATTTCTTTGTACGATATAATCGTGATAGAAAAATTAATGTGTTATAAGGTCCTAAAATAATGTTAATTAATTTTAAATTCTTAATATTTAAAATCACGGCTAAAAAAGTAGTAAGATAGTCATTGTTTTAATACATTACCTAGGTATGTCATCTAAAATATAATTACAAATTAAATTTTTCTTTTTTGTAAATATAATGTATATTTATATACATATCAAATCAACAAAATATTAGAGAATTTTAATCCATTGAATTATTTTTTGTATAATTAATTTCTATGCTTAGAAAAACATTTGCTCTAATTTAAAACACAAAAAAAAAAAAAAAATAAGAAGTATGATTTAATAAAGTTATAAAATAAATAAATAATACTTTTTTAATAAATTCAAATTAAAAAATATTGATTTTCTTTGAATGACTTACTAAATATATGTTGAATGAATATCGTAACCAACGAAATAATTACTTTATTTTCGTTTAGAGATATTTGTGTAAACCAGAAAATATATATAAAAAATATTCTATACAATTATAAGAGAGATTTAATAAAAACAAATCAACAAAGATTGTATAATTTATTACTCCACCTATCTATATTTCAATATGAACTTAAAAACGGATGGACCAATTGGGCTCGTTTTTTTTTTTTACTATGATAGTTCATACTTCATAATAAAGTTTTATGGAAATAAAAATAAAAAAGGTTTCCGGAAAATTTGAAAATCTCGGGGAAAAAATAAAGTGATTTTTTCGTATGAATTTGTGATTATATGCAGGTTATGCTGAGATTTGCATACTCATAGAGTATTTGTGACAACAATACTTTGAACCATTCTTAAAACAATATTTTGCGGGTCTGCCATAAAATTTAAAAACTCTTTATGGGAAAAAACAACATTTTTCAGGCCAGCTAGCATTTAAATTGATCGATCAAAATATGTATACTAAAAAAAAATAGAAACTATATTTTTTCATTTAGAATTATTTAATTTAAATTATAACGCCCTCCACTTTATTTATTTAAATATATCTATGTTTTACTTATCATTGCGAATATTACATTTACTTTAATAATTTGTTTTAAAATCAAACGTGTTGAAATTTACATAACACGATTTAAATGCACATTTAATTAGTTGTACGTGGTTTATTTATTGTTCTTCATAATAATTTTATTTTAAAAAAGCTAAAATAAGTATTAGTTTATTTATATAAATTATAGTATAAGCAAACAAATAAGATTATAAAAAATTATAACAAAACACCACGTACCTAACTAATATTTTATACTATATAATTTTTATAGACTCTGAGCAAAGAAATAAATGTATTAATTTTACAGTATTAACTTTTAAAACTGAAGCTAAAAATCTTTAATTCGGATTAAATTATTTTAAGTTTAATATAGTTAAAAAATAAACATTGAAGCTTTAAACTTCAGTTGGGTTGTATTTAATGTTTAAATTTAAGCAATTTTACAAAATTTATGATTTACTAAATAGTATTTATAAATTGAAAATGTTTTTATAGAGAATTATATCAAGTACCAAGTATAATATAATAATATAATCCCAATAATTGATTTATGTAATCACTTATCAAAATTAATTAGTGCAAAATGTAAATTATGTAATAATTATTATACATTTTTTAATATAAGACGTATTATAAATATATAAAAATATAAATAAATATTAGATTCTTAATTATAACATTAGTTATTAGTCGTAAATGGATGTGATAGTTAAATAATATTATTATCGTACACAAATACGTATCAAAATTGCCTATTTAATGCGCCGTGTTAAAACAGGATTTTTTTTAAAGCTAGCCGTTATTATCATTTAAAATATTGTTAAAAGTATTAGGATTAAATAAAAATATAAAATTTATTATGCAAATATATCATAATGAAATATTTTTACTGTTTAAAATTACAAAACACAAGATGTATAATAAACGTATAACATACGAGTTTATTATTATAATATTTAATAATCGTACGGTTTGTATTATATTATATTTCTCTATTTGGAACGATAATAACAACCTACGTATAAGAAAAAATGAATTTATTTTATATGACAATATTAGGGTACTACGCTCTACGCGTGTTTATTGAAATAACACAAGTCGATATATATTCATATATGTATACGAACTTTCATGACGTATACAGATTGGAACAGTTGGTGCTCGTTAACTTTTGCACATTGATTTCCTATACATATTATTTTCATATTTCTTCGTTCTTGACTTAAATTTACACCAATAATATACATAAACGTCCCCAAACTCAAGTTAAATTTATTGCTCACAAATACTACTTAGTAAGGCTGAATATTCGGTCTTTATATTAAAAAAATAAATACCAAAAAAGAACTACTCACACATTTATTAATTTATAAAAATGTATACGAGATAAATTGGTCTATTGTTTTTATATAATTTTTTTTTCAATTTTACTTTGATTAATAACACAATAATTTATTGTAAATAAAACATAATGTACACTTGACTTTTTTTATAAAAATATTTTATCGTTACTAAACAATTATTCCCTCGGTAAACATATTATGTATATTATGTTTGTATATACTTTAAGTTAATTATATTTTTAAGCCATAACTTATGAGCAATTATAATTGTATTTGAGCAAAGTAAAGTTATATAGGGAAAACCCACATAATTTTGGTATACTTCTTAGCTCATATAAACTTTAAATAATACTTTTAACTATAGTAAATTTTACTGATAAGCGGTTTCAGATTAAATTAATATAGAAGTCCTCAGAAAAATAAACTATATTGAATTATAAAATTAAAAATGAATGTTGTCGTTTAAAAAATTAAAAATGTGTAATATGATAATAAATTTGAATATATTTTTTCAAAACTTTTGTGATTAATGATTTATTTAAATTTGGTATGTAAAAAAAAGTATTGTTCAAATTATATATTATATCTATAATAGTTTTTTTAGTCTCAAACATAAACTCTAGAGAAAAATCTTGCTTATTCTCTCATATAGTTACGTTAACATGCAGACACATAGTTCTAAAGAGTTTCTAACAAAGCCAGCGGGGTAATAAAATTATAGCCATTACGTATTATCATTTGAATAGTGGAAAATCGTTTACAAGTCTAATAATAATAATGATGATAATAATGATATAACACTGTTAAAGTTTTCTATAGATACATATCAATGATGAATGGACTGTAATATTAACATATACCTTTAATTATGTGCATGACGTGACATACAATTTAACGTACATTTTATCAATCATTTAGTAAAACTAATGTTAACATAATATTATTTATAGGTTCACGATGAAAAACTGAAATAAGGTGTAAGTGTAAACATTTTATTTGTTAAAGTTATTTTTAAAATATTTAGTGATAGTTATATTCTATGAATAATTCTACCCAGATTACTTCATTATTTCTATTAGCTTAATTAGTATCTATTTCATATTTATGGTAAATTTAAATTTAAAATCGAATATTTAATTGAAAATAATAACCATATTACTTCAAGTTAAATAATTTTGACACATAAAATGAGAAAAACAATAGATAACTATAAAACATTTCGAGCAACTTAAATAAACCGTTATTAACATATAAATACTTACAATGGTATTATAAATTATAAGACGTAACTAAACATTTTTTTTTTTTATGTTTTTTGGTAGGAATCATGTAATATATTTTTCATTTACTTCTATTTTAAATAAAATTTATCACAGAAAATTTTAAAAAATAAAAAAAAAAATGCTAAAGAATAAAAATATTTAGAACTGCACATTTGTATCAATCAAATTATATTTAATTATGCTAGAAAATACTTATATCAGTAAAGTCGATATAGTTAATATGAGTGTATTTAAAAATCCATGATATAAATTGTATTAAAAGTATATCTTAGTAATTTAACTCGATAATGCCTATTTTTGTTAAAAAGTATACTAAAACAACTAAACTAAAATTATAGTATTAGTTTTACGTTTTGCTGGCATCAATAAAAATTCATCCATATTAGTCACCAAAATATATCAAATTAAAAATTATTTTCAATTATCATATCAACATAAAAGTATCTATACTTCGCAGATATGTAAAGACTTTGGTCTTTTAGGTGGGAAAATTAAAACTATTGATGAAAAATGCACACAAGTAAACTTTTTCCCAGATGGCAAGCCCTTTATTCAAATTCCATTTAAAATTAATTTAGAATTAAATTTTATCTTTGTTATTAATTTATATACATATGTATTTTATACAAAACAAATAAGTTATAATACTCAACTAATTCATACGTAATTTTTGACAAGAATTTATAAGCTAGGTATTTTACATATTACTAATATTTTAAATGTTATTAAAGTTCAACATGAAGTTTGCACTTGAAAAATTAGTATTGCTACTTTAATTTTCAAAATAAATACTTAAATTAATACTCTCACAGAGTTATAAAATTTTTTTATTTTTATGAATTCAATTTTTAATTAAGTTCAAAAAAATTTTATTTTTAAAGTTTGATAAAATAAATTATAAAAAAAAATGTTTTCAACTTAATTGTTCCATT